AACATATCATTATCTCTACACAGTTACTGTTGCTATAAATTATTTGACAAGTGTTTTAGGTGGACCTATTTTGGCACATCACTCACTCATGAAACTATTTGCCGGAATGTGGCTTTCAGGATTAGATTTATTAATGAAAAAATTAAAGGTATTCTGATTGGAAGCCCATGTTACAGTTTTATTCCCTGAATAGATGAAAATTACTTTTAGAGTCAGGTTTCCAATTTAAAACATTTGTAATTTCAAATTTAACATTATTTACTTTCCCATTAAAATCTTCAGAGTCTATTAAAAGAAAATGTTTGTCTTAACTATGAACAGCCAGCTTGACAATGTTGGTTAACCATGAACCTGCAGCTTTAGTCCTCCACTGGGTGACTAACAGCAAGCAGAATGTATTAATTTTACAAACAGGCTACGAGAGAGACCATGCAAAATCCTATTTCATTCTATAGGTTTGCCAACTTCGTGGATCTACAGACTGGCTGTCTGGCACAAATGATGTTGACAAAAGCTGCACAAAAAATTACAGATATTCAATAAGGGGAAATGGAATAAAGGCTACTTCTGCCTCCTCAGATGTGACAAATGAGTAACTGAAGAATTGTTGCTTTGTGTGTGATTGCTCCAGCTTATGCCCAGTCATCATTTAACAAATTTACCAGTCAAGATAAATGTATCAGCAAGTAACAGGTAAAAGATTATCAGTGCATCAACCAACTTCTGTATTAAGCACTCTAATAAAAGCATCATAAACTAAGAGCTTTGAACTTGCCTCAAGTTACAAAAGAAGGGGTACACAAGAGCTCCCTTACTGTATTCCCTAGGGCAGACCAAGTATCTAACACTGGGGACTGCTCATCAATAGGATAATCATTTGGGAAACTCTAGTACTGGTTCACCAGATCATGCATATTTTGTTAAACGAACATCTGCCTTACCAAATGGGCTCTCATGTGGTGTCTCCTGACCTAAAAGAGTTACATCTGCACTTTTAATTGGCATAACAGTTCAATTATTTGATCAAATGTCTGGTTGTTGCTTTCATAATCCTCCAACACACTAAATCTGGTGATAACTTTGGCTTTAAAAGAGCCTTCATGGTTGCATCAAAAAGAGTAAAAAGGTTACTTTAAAATGGCCAAATCCCCAATGTCAGATGAAAAGAAGTGAAAATATTTTTATCACATACTTTAAAGTTAGGACTAATCCATAAAATGTGTATACTTGAGGATGAGGGCTTAGTTCTGCTGACCTCCATCTCTCAGGATACAGGAATAAAACAGCCCTTCTTTTTCTTGGCTTTAGGACCTTATTGACAACCTATGAAAGTTAATGGAAAGACTTCAGTGGATTGTTTTGTGGGTTTTTTTAAAAGGCAGACAAGCATTACAACAGAGCTCCCTCTCATTCAAGGATATTCTGATGGGTAGACTATCTCTCTAAACTCCTGCTTGGAGACTCGCCCAAATCAGAGAAAATATAATTCTGCTTCTCAGAAGAGAACAAGTCTGAGGGGCTCCAAGGGCACTGACCCTACAAGCCTTAATAAACGCACTGAACTGCAGGACTGAAAATCACCACAAAGCTAGAAAAAGGCCAACGCATGTGATAGAAAGACAAGAATTTTACTATAAAAGCAGAAGCCTATGAAACAGGTGAGTGGAAGAAGTAGACTGCAAGTACAAATAACACGCAGTAAAAGTTTGCTAGAAAAATAACACCATTTTGTTAGGGAAAGTATGTAGCATCATCAAAGACAGAAGACAAGCAAGAAAATGGAAGAAAGCAAGCCTTTGGTGAGCCTTTTACATGTTACAGTCTCATAACAGCACTGCAAACTACCATTAAGTCAATGGATTGTGTACTAGCAACTATCAGTCAGATCTATGATGTTCTGTAATACCTTACAGGTGGGGAACACGAAGCACACAGCACATACCCACCACGGGAGGGGCGTTGGACTAGATGATCTTTAAAGGTCTCTTCCAACCCAAACCATTCTATGATTCTATGATTTAAGTTAAAAAAATATATATGTTGGTTTGTAGAACAGGTAGCATGGTTTAGGTGGCAAGACTGCCCTGGACAGCTGTGCCTGCCAAGGTGTTAGGCAAGGCATTTAAACTTTTGCAACTACATATACTTTCCCACCTTTCACCTGACTTCTTTATTTGGATAACAGGCTGTAAGAGGCAGGGCTCTCTCACATACCTTCTGAACAAAAGGTAGCTCAAGGGAAACTCACTATATTACTCTGATACTACTATTAAAAAATGTCACTGCACATGGCCAAAATGTAGGGGAGGATGATTATGAAGAGACAGCAGTGGAAGCCTCTGCTCTAGGAACAACAAAATGTATTTCAAAAAAGAGCAGCCTCATCATGCTATCAAGTCTGCATATATAACATAGTTCAACCACATCAGTATGTGGTACAACTGCGTACGTGTATGTGGTACAAGTGTGGTGTAACTGTGTACAGGCAAATAAAAGCATATGTGAAATTGCAGAACGGATGACACCTTGGATTATCACTCAGGCTGCCACTAGGAAGACGCCAATTACATCTGTTTCATATATTCTTATCACATAAAATTCCATTCTTGCATGGTAGTAGCTAATTTAGTGCCTATCTTCATGGTAGCATAGTTACAGTTATTTTTTCTATTCACTGATTTGCATATTTCATTGTTGAATTTCATCCTCCATTTTATCATGCAGTGTTTTCTGCCATAAGATCTTCTGAACCTTTTGGTGGTCTGTCTTTGTTTCAGCTGTTCAGACTGATTCTTTACCATCAGCATACTCCACCTCAATCCTCACACCACCTTTTCAAAATTGTTTCTGAAGATACTGAACGCAGGTCTCAGCGTGGATCCCTGTGGGATGTCACCGGGATTTCTCCATTCTAAAAAAAGGCCATTTATTCCTATCCTTTAACTTCTAACTTTTAATTCGTGTCTCAAAGAATCTTCACTCTCATCCTGTGAGAGACTAGTATCTAAAAAATATTTGTTGAAATCTGTCTCCAAAAGGTCTTTAAACTAAAATACACACATATTGACCTGATCATCCTCATCCATATGTTTATTGTCTTCACAGAATAACTCAGAAGATTCATCATGCATTAATTTCTTTTACAAAAAAAAAGAGTTCAACTCTTCCCCAATATCATGTCTTTCCTCTTTATTATCATTTCTATTAATTTCCTTCATATGGAAATCGAACATATTGGTCTGTTCCTGCCAAATTCAGCCATGGAGTCCTCTTATAATATTTGGTTATATTGCAATTTTCCATTCCTCTGATTCCAGGACTGCACATCACATAGTTCATAAGTTCTGTGTTTTAGTTCCCTCAAAGCTCTCGAGCATCTGCCATATGATCCCATCCTTTGTTTCTTTTTTTTTTTTCCCTAAAACTTCTCCAAACATTTCACAGTCAAAAATGAACCCACAGATACATCATCTGTTCCAGACATAATTATGCAGTGCCTAATTTGTAATAAACAGTCCTTCAATATAGATAATGAAAGTTTTCCATATACTAAAGAGAAAAGAAAAATTATTAACAAAATAGGCAATACTTTCTCACATTAGCTAAGTTTGGGGAAAAAAACAGTCTGAAAAGCTGAAAAAAGTTGAAAAGTCTGAAAAGCAGATCTACATAGGCAGCATTTTTGTCATTTGTGTCGTCATGTTCACCTGAAGAAAGGCCTGTTGGCAGTGTGTCATATGCCTTAATTATGTGGCAGCCAACTTTACTCTTGGACTCCAAATGCTCCCCATGGTTTGTTTCCAGGTAGGTACTTTCTTATGCAGTAGAGTGGCAGGTGACATTTGATTGTAAAAGCAAAACATTCCAGTATCATACTAAAGTTTGAAAAGGCAGCATAGATTTGTCTTACACACCTCTCTGGCTGGATGGCATAAGAATTAAGAAATGACAACCCACCTTTCCACCTCATCATACAGGCAAGATGATTTTACAGGTAAAGTAACCCCTATTTTTTGCATCCTAAAGGAGGAAGGTTTGTGCAAAGGTCCATATACCTCTAAGAGTAAAAGCTCTTTTATGAGACAATATGATACATGCCAGGAGTTTGCTATGAGCTCTTCTTATTATGTTTACCAAACCTCTCCCTTTTTTAATTTTTTTTTTAACAAAGAAAAAAATCTGGAACCAATCTATTTTATTTCACAGCTCTGAATACTCTACTAAAGCGTACATGAAATAAACTATTTGCAGTAGTCCTTGTTGAGAAACCATGCTTTTTCTTAAGGTTAGACAGTCAGAGTTGACAGAAAATGAATATTCTTCTAAACACGTTACTGTAACTCAGAAGACAGACTCTTAGTCTTAATAACAGCAACAATGATAATAAACAATAGTGTTGTTAGTAATAGAATATATTTCTAAATGTCAGTAATGGTATTTTTAAACAAAAAAGGCTAGCAATGTACTGTAAATGTGTGCTATGAGGAACATTAGCATGTAGCTGCCAGACAACCTCAATGAAGGATTTCATTGTTGAATTATGAAATCGCTGTGTTTGATATTACTATACACATACACTCCAGATCTGATGCAGATCACAGTCAAGAAGGATTCCAAGCAGCCTCAGAGGTCATCATTAACCCTCTGCCAAGCAGAGTTTATAGATAATTGTTAAATAAATCTATAGATTATACCTAGTTCTAGAACAGTTTCTACAGTGTTATTTGCTCATTGTGATGAAAGCATGGTTAAGGTAGAACAGAAAACATTTTTTTCTATTTTTCTCTAGACTACATAGATACGTAAGGACACACCCATGTACCATTTTCAAATGGCTGAGCACAAAATGTCATTTACAGATTCTTCCTTTCAGACACATCTGTTCTGCACCTGTTTTCTTAATGTTTGTTTCTATAGGTCGTCTCTCGATATTCAAAATACTTGCCCTCCCACAGAAACTTTCACTTGGACACATGAAAATGTACAAACAATCCTCCTACCTTTAGCAGGTAAGCTTGGCAGTCACTGACATAATCATACTCCAATCCATCAAAGGTATAATAATGTCGATCTCCATAAATAGTGCATACAGCAGGACAGGGGTAACTAGTGCAATTGAATACCCCTCTCCGACAAACACTGTAACGAAAATTAACAATCAGTATCTTCTCATAGCAGGGTCATTTTCTTTTTATTTTCAAGAAAAAGCTTTATTGGGTTCTTTATTTCAAGTCATACAGAAATTCATGAAAGGAAGAAAATTCTCAGACCTTGAAACACAGAGCTATTCTGTGGATTACTTCTGAAGTTATTGGTGATGCCATGGCAGAAAAGTGTTGAGCATTTTGCCATCAGCGCATATGTACAACAAAAATGCATAAGAAATGAATGCAAAATCTTAAAATTTTTATGGCTTATGCAAATATTTCCATCACTGCCTCCAGTATAGTTAAGACACCATGCCACAACATGCTCATTCATAAAACATCAATATTCTATTTTTTCTTAAGAAATTCTGATACAAATCTGCACATATTCAATGCAAAAGACCTCCAGTTGCTAACTGTAAGATTTCGGGGTATCAGACAAGTATGGAATGAGTTTAAGAAATAAATGCTGATATTTTGTGGGATTACTTTTCCTGTCAGGTACATTCAGTGACTTACATGCATTTGTATGAAGGTAGTACTGACAGACTCTAGCTTTGCTTGTGTAAGTGTATACTGGTCAGTTGATTTGCCAATGAAGTTTTTAACTGATTAAAAGCTGCCATGCCAAACGTTTTTTATTATTATTAAATATATACTTAACTGAAGATAGATATTTTGGCTAGCAAATTATAATGGATGAAAAAGTGTTTTGCATCAACATGAGACAGGTAAGGCTCCTTAAAAAAGATGCTGGGCGCTAGCTCATTTTCCAGTTCTAACGCTTTTTTATTTCCTTTGGGGTTTTTTATTGCTCATCTTCTTCCTATATAGTCGCTCGTGCTGACTGGTAACTCACACTGCAAACAGTCCAGCTCCCAAAGGAGCAGACTATTTTCCACTGTCATACATTTAATTTCTTTTTTTTTCTTCTTGGTTGTTTTTCAAGATATTCTGTTCTCCAAAATGCCAAATGTCTTTTCTTTCAGAGATTAACTGATATGTGTGGAATCAAGCATTTGTTCTTGACTGCTTTTTAATTTGGATGCCTTCTGCTTCCTTTTCAGACCTGAAGAAGCACTCACCCAAAAGTCTGCCTACTCTTCCAAGTCTGTTAGTGAGCCTAATAAAAGATATAACCTGTAACTGACTATAAACAAGCATATACATTTTTGATTTTCAATGTACTCAACATGTTTTCTGTATCAGTTTCACTTTGTGGCTAGACCCAGATGATTTGGAAGTATGCAAATTGCATGTCACTCACCAGGTGTAACATGGTGTAGCTATCACTTCTCCTGACAGGAATTCCCTGTCTTTCCAGGTGCATGGACAACTGTCAGGAATATAACATTTCCCTCTATGCTCAGCCATCCTTCAAAATAAAAGAATTATTAAGATGAAAGCATAAATTCACAAGTAGATCGACATAACTGAATGTGTAGTGTATTGTCTAAACCCCGCCAGGGGCAACCAGTCTTCCATCCAGCCAAGGACAATTGTTTCAGCAACAAAAGCTGTCTGTATCAAATGATCTCCACTGTGCACAGCTGGAGACCTCGCAAAGCTCACAGCTGTGGCTCTCCTTCTACCTCGAAAGGGGTATGCTGGTGTGGGGCAGCAGCTCCTATCCAAGAGGGCAGGTAGTGTAGGTATTCCTTCCTGCAACTGCTGAGCATCTGTGTGTTATGCACGCTGCTGAGGCTGCAGCCAGGCTGCCCTTCCCTCCCTGCTGCTCCCTCGTCCTCCTGTCCCAGGGATGCAGCCGGACTGATGTGCCCGCTCCACTGCGCAGAGCAGCAACCGTTCTGTTCTGAGGACAGGATAGTGAGCTGGGCTATGGCAGCTGTTGCAGAGTTAGCAGGACAAAAGAAACACAGTTTACGAAGTAGTAGTCTAGGTGAGACAATTACTTGGGCAGTAATCAGGAACACAGATGGTTTACATTACGATTTTTTTTCATGTTTGCTTCTACACTCAGATAAACTATTCTGTGCAAGTAGTGGGAGTCATCTCCTGTCCAGAGGGTCCCAAATACCAGCCAATCAGACTGGCAGCAAGCTGGATATCTCATGGGATAGTGGAATCATGGTCTCAGGATGGAGAAACTGTGGGACTCCAACTGAGGAAGCATTGTTCCATGGAGCCTCACACCAGTAGGAAGAAGAAGAGGGCTCTCAGAGACAAAAGAAAGAGTTGACCTTTTAACTGTGACTGTATATCTGCAAAAATTTATAGAACAATAGCTTCAAAATTAGAGGTGTGATACCACTGGAATTTAAAAAGCAAAAAAATATGCAGAGTTAAACTGTGAAAAATATGTATATGGCTTGTGCTCCAGCTTGTTCTGCCAAAGCTTACCCAGGGGGACAAATGCAGCCACTTGCACAGGGTGGTGAAGGGACACAGGAGAAGTTCATGGCAAGGTTTGCACAAGAGATCCCGCAGTTCACACCCGCTGCTGGTAATCCAGGGACAGGAGATTTGCAGTCATAGTAGATTTTTCCTTCAGGGCATACGTGAACTTCAAATGCAAAATGCAGGTTAAATGAGATCAACTGCCCTTTTACACTGAAGGTTTTCTATTTGTTTTTGTTTACTATCTATTCATTTTAATGCACAGTTATCCTACATTACAGTACACGTAAGAATACAACCTGAATAAAAGTCTATAACTTCATTTGTATTACAGAGATATAAAACTAATATATGTTTTAATGTAAAAAAAAGACCAAAACTTAATATTAAGCATTTGGATCTATGCACCCTGGATCTGATACACAGCCCATTCTTAAAGATGGAGCAATTATGCCTTAGGTAGACAGAATCTTTAGAAGTGGCATAATTTTCAGTGTACTGAAATCCCTTCTAAATCCATTAGAAATTCATTAAAAATTTACTTTCTAGAAATCAAGATCTTAAGGCTTCCTAAGCATGGCTAGTGAGCCTAATTTTATGTATTCCCGCGAGAACATATTGACCTACACCTTACGTGTAATTATTTATTTTTTTAATTTCCCAAGTGACTTAGTAGTACAACATGTGCTACAGAAAAAGGAAAAAGAAAAAAACAAGACAACTTGTGTTCCTAACATTCTATTTTAAATATGCCATGATGTTAACTATCTCATAAAGAAAATACACGAGGAGAAAACCAAATGACTATTCAATGTCAAAAACTTTGTCTGTGTAGCTGTAATATGAGAAAAGACTCTAAATTACCTGTATTTTCTGTAGTTGCTTCAATACATTTCACTGTTCCATTCAAACACTGACTGGAAAAGAATAGCAAACCCATCTTTATTCAACGGGAAAATGTTTTGTAGCCACCATGCTAAAAAAGATAAAAAACTTAACCCAATTTAAAGAACAGAAATCAGGAGGAGAAGGATTAAAATCCGAAAGCATGAGTTCTGACTAACATTTTGTTGGTGTTTTCTAACCGCTATTCTGTAATGAGGGCCCAAACTCACAAAGGTGTTTATGTACTATTTAATTGCCTAACTTTCACTGAAATAAAAAAGCAGCTGGGTATGTCAGCCTCTGTGGGAACGTAGGGCCAGGTGATTCAGGATGCCAGCAGTGTAACACAAAACCTTATCCACCTTGGTGAATATGGAACAATACAGTATGCAAATTTCCTGTTGCACAGACGTTAGGATACACAGCTTGATTCTTTTTATGATAAAATACAGAATTGCAGAAAAACACACTTGACAATAAACCTAGCCCTCATTTTTTCCTTTTCCTTAAAAAAAAATTGTGAAAAAAACAAAGCATTGCAGAGGCATAACAATGGCAGAAAAACGAAGCCCCTACTCTCACCTCTTGAACTACATGATTACCAAGCTTCAGTTATAACAACTATAATATATAAGACCTCAGCAAGAATCAACCTTGGCAGTCAAGTCACAGACGTGATTTTAAATCAGCAGGTTGAGAGCATTTCTTGTAAAATGAACAAGTTTGACCAGGAAACCTGTGAGGTTTCCCCACTTGTTTCAGTGAGGTCAGGATTCCATCATGAATTAATAATACAAAATGACACAAATATAACTCCTTGCAAGCCTTCGTTTGAAAGACTTTCCAAAATAGAATCACCTTGTTTATTCTTCCAAAACCAGCCTCATATTGCTATCATAATGCCCCCAGGTCTAAGAACAGGATTGCAACCTTAAAACACACAATGTGTGTGTTTTGAGATACTCTTTAGTCCCTGGCTTACAGAATTTTCCAGGTATCTTCTTGTTAAAATAAGCAGGTACATAATCCAATTTATATTAGGCTCCCTTTTACTAAGTGTGTAACAAAAATAAAATCTTGATACAATAGACCTTCATTCTATGTGAAAAAATTCTCAAGGCTCTTGAGTAGCATCCAGACTGTGATACATGAAAGATCTCTTAGTGCTCAAACCTACCAGGAGCCTGTTGGCGTAGGGAGGATTTCTCCAGGCTGGAGGGCTTTGCCCTTGTAATGGCAATGACAGGCAGATCTGTTAAAAGAATATTTAAGCATGTAGATACAAAAGCAAGATGAAATGGGATTTAAGGGCAATCCATTTATCAAGCTGTTATGGTAAGCAAGCCTTATAATTCATTAACTCAATCTTTATATTTACAATATACTTCTAAAGGCAAAAACTAAAGGATGACACTCTGACTGTATTGAAGTCAGTGGCAAAACTCCTCGTAATATCAACAAAGCCAGGATTTTCCTCAATCTCTGTATTACTTATTTGCCATTTCTATGCATTGGTCTTACAGAAAGGAGCTTTTCTTCCCATGGGAAGTGGGGAGTAGAATGGCAACATGTGGTTCCCATTCAAAGTACTGTCAAAATCATGGGACAGAGGAATTATCATAGCAAAATCCATTAACGCTGTCTGTGGTAACAGCCAGATGGGATAGAAGTAGCAACAGAATTCCCTAGAAACCATGCAAAAATATGGGAATACCAAGTTACCTCACACTCTTTAATAGTTTGAAACAGTCTTTATCCCTACAGTATGAACTTTACTGATCTTTCCAAAATACATGTCACAATGAACAGCAATAACTCTGTACAATCTTGAAATTTATATAAATACTCATTCCAGTTTTTAATTCAGTACCTGAACTCTGTAACTCCCCATGGTCGTAAGCTGTAAAATTTTGGTACACAATGTACAAAAACTATTTCCTTTCATTGACCATTTCCTTCCATTGAACTGAAGGAGTTTGCATTGTGAGACAGAAAAAAGACAATCCTAGCCACTCTCTCCATACTATCCCTGACTTTATGGATTGCTACAACGTAATATCCTTCTCATTTTTTCTTAAGTGTAAAAAAAAAAGTTTTCATGTGAAAATGCTTTCCCGTGAATTAAAAAAGTTTCATCACCCTTCCCTAAAGCAGTATGACATATCTTCTCTGAAGTGCAGTAGATGGCTGTACACACAGTAGCAGATGAGGCCCCGCTATTGATTAGTACAAAAGAATATGAAATCTTCACATATTGCTTGCTATCCTGTTTAGGCAGTCTACATCTTGAGGGAAACAGCAGAAAAACTGCTTTAAATCTTGATGGAAAGAGGAAAATGTGCCTATGCATTTATTCTATTTTCTTATGACTTACATTGATACACAAAAGTTGACCGACTCTTCAAAATATTTCCCAGCAGGACAATTACATCCTTCTGCACAGTCATCACCACAGATATTTGCCATAGAAAGTGAAGCACAGGAGTGTTTACAAAAAGAAGAGCACTGATGATAAAGCATACCACTGTGACACATCACAGCTGGAGGAGAGAGAGGGGGAGAGAAGGGAGAACAACATACTCTTAACATGGGAAAAATAGAAAACAAAGCAGTATATCATGGGAGTGCAAAACAGCGAAGCAAACTGGTCTCTTGCTGCACTGGGGTGAGTTAAAATGCACGGGGAAAATATGCTATTTTACTGATTATAGAATCATAGAATAGTTTGGGTTGGAAGGGACCTTTAAAGATCATCTAGTCCAATCCCCCTGCCATGGGCAGGGATGTCTTCAACTAGATCAGGTTGCTCAAAGCCCCATCCAACCTGACCTTGAATATTTCCAGGGATGGGGCATCCACCACCTCTCTGGGCAACCTGTGCCAGTGCTTCACCACCCTCAGAGTAAAAAATTTCTTCCTTATAGCTAGTCTAAATCTACCCCCCTTTAGTTTAAAGCCATTCCCCCTTGTCCTGTTGCAACAGGCCCTGCTAAAAAGTTTGCCACCATCTTTTTTATAAGCCCCCTTTAAGTACTGAGAGGCTGCAATAAGGTCTCCCCAAAGCCTTCTCTTCTCTAGGCTGAACAACCCCAACTCTCTCAGCCTTTCTTCATAGGAGAGGTGTTCCATCCCCCTGACCATTTTTGTGACCCTCTTCTGGACCCGCTCCAACAGGTCCGTGTCTTTCTTATGCTGAGGACTCCAGAGCTGGATGCAGTACTCCAGGTGGGGTCTCACCAGAGCAGAGTAGAGGGGCAGAATCACCTCCCTCGACCTGCTG